TCTGTTCTTTTTTTCTTATAAACGTCTAAATAAAACAAAAATATTGGTGGTAATTTTTGACTGTAACTTTACAAACGGCACCTCATACAAAACGTTCGGCTCATTCAGGAGATACTTTTGTTTTTATCATTTTTTACAGTTTTAAAATATTTTACTTTACAAAAAAAATACATTTAGATCTTTTCAGCTTCTTTAAAAACGTTGTTCTTGTCGTTTAAAGCGCCTCCTTTTCTCTTCTTTAGCTGTTTAAGCTTTTTCTGTTTTATTTATGTTAGCATTTGGCTATAGCTTAGTTAAGCTTAGCTTTTAGCTGCCGTTAGCATTTAGCACACYGTTTTTAGCCTTTAGCTTGTTTTCTGTTTGTTTTCTCTGTGAATCTTTACAAAAAAAAATACAATTTCTCTTTTTAAAACAGTGATTTTATTCCAAAAGCAGCCAAATGTTCATGTTTTCTTAAATTATTTGACTGTTTCTTTTTTTTTTTTTAAAGCCCAATTCAGTTTTAAATTCTCTTCTCAGGCTTTGGAAACATCTCAGTTTTTCCTTTTAGTTTGTTTATTATTTTTGGACACAGCAGGACTTTAGAAACGATTATAAATCTGATTCCAGTTTGCTGAAGGGGAAAAACAAAAGAGRGTTTCTGCAGGATGTGAAACAGGTTTGAACACAAACTACTTCCTGCTCCGCTGAACGTCTGAACATGGAAGTCAGTGAATGTGGTTTAACTTCTGCTTTGAGTGCACTCTCAGCCCGAAAAAAAAACTGATTTTACTCTGAACGGTTTGTGTTTCTGTCTGAGAAGAACTGAAATTTAATGTTTAAAAGAATCTTTAACCAGCTGTTAAAAATAAGCAKTGTTCYTTACCCTTTACCTGTTCAGGTCTAATACCAGTTAATWATGACATGTGAGTGTTGGAGTGAGCCACACAGCTGAYTGMACTGATTAGTTTTTGTTTTAATCTGTCTCTGACAGGCATCAGCTAAACAGTGAGTAAAAACCAGGAAACACACATCAAGTACAGCTTTCTTCACATCCTGACTCCACCTCATGACACATGTTAAAGGGCCAGGCTGCTCCTATATGGAGCCAAGATGTCAGACATCATCCCTCACACTAATGTTTGATCACTGTTCTTATGTGTTGTTTTTAAATCAGACATGTTTCTGACAAAAAGCCTCCTGAGTCTGTGAGACCCTGATCCAGAGACCCACAACCCAGTCTGCACATAAAATCATGAAGTCAGAGATAACCACATTATAGAAATATATTACTGTTCACCTAATAAAAGACTAAACAATGGGCCTCATGTAAGAACATGTTCGTATTCTTCTCCTAAATTTCTCTTACTTTTGTTCGTACAAAGGGTTCGTA